GAGTGGAGGGAATATGATAGATTAAGAGCAAGATGAGCAGCATTTCCATGGATCATCTTCCCTCTCGGACTCAAGGGCTGGGTGAAATAGGAAACTTTAAAACTTGTTAACAGACTGACACCATTCTTCAGCATTTTAGGGCAAGTGCCTTCCTGACATTTATTATTATTATTATTTATTAATTTTTATGAAAACTTACAGAGACTTTGGCTTTCCATTCATTCATTGTTGCACTTTTCTCCCTGCCCACCCTCTCCCTCCAATTCACTCTTCTCTTTGAAAAGTAAAAGAAAAATTCTTTCATTGTTATACAATCCCTCCCCTCAAGTCCACTCCACTATGCAGCCTTTTGTGCAACAAAAAAGATGAATGCACCAACAATACCAATGACTACTAAGACCTCAACTGTGATTCCAATCAGGATGGATCACTGTTATGTTACCGAGCCACCCGTAGAGTGATCAGTGACCTAGGGCTATCGTGCTCTGGAGTTCTTGGTCATGAACTATATGCTTCTTGTGGGTTGACAAGTACTCAATGTGACTGTGTGCTGTACTCTCAGCACTTGTTGGGACCAGGACTGTTAAGTCAGTGGACACAGGGCTTTTCACTGGTACCAGGCGTCACCATACCATTTTCCATTCCCTGAATTAGTATGCAATTTTCCAAGCAGACTGTGTTGTACCTTCCTTGCCATTTTGGTCAGCTGGCAAAGATAGAAGTCTGATAGCATAGATGACTAGAGACTAGATTAAGATAAAATGCTCATGGCAGGAGAGTGAGAAGGGAAAGTGGAGAACAAAATACTCCATGCAGGGGTTCCAAAGCTTCCTTCTCTTCACCTGCAGCACCCAGAGCAGGCAGCCTTTGGGAGAGGAAACTGCACTTCACAGCTTTTAGAATGGAGTCAGCATTTATGTCTCCAAACAAAGCAAGCTATTGGAAGATGTGATGGCAATCTTCTCTTTTGTTATAGATCTTTTTAGGGTTTCTCCATTTAGATTGAGGTCATTAACAATTACAGGTTGCTTGGCTCCACAATCAACGCTCTTAACACTAGCAGTCAGGACATCTCAGAAGATGAATTGCAATTGAAAAATCTGCTGTCAGGGACCCCTCCTGAGTATTGAAAAGCAACAGTGTCAGTCTAGAGACTAAGGTGTGCCTAAGCCAGGCCATGGTCTTCACAATTGCTTGCTATATGTCAGAGAGCTGGACAGTGACTAAGGACAGAAGAAGAATCAGTGGTACTGGAGAAGAGTCTTGAACATACCATGGACTGTCAAAACAAATAGGTCTGTTTTGGAGATGGTGAAACCAAGTTTCTCCTTGGAGGCTAGAATTTTGAAGTTCTGTATCACATACTTTGAGCATGTGGCCAGGAGATACCCGTCCTTGGAGAAGAACGTTATGCTTGGAAGAGTGGAGGGATAGTTCAGGAGAGGAAGACCCCAGATGGGATGGATTGATACAGTGACTGGGGCAACGGGGGTTGGTGTGTCGGAATTAGTGAGACTGGCTCAGGACAGGACAGGGTTCATAGCTGCTGTACAAAGGTTCACTATGGGTCACAGGTGACTTGACAGCACGTAACAACAACAACCTTTATTTGAGCTTTTTTAGCAATACATATGTACATTTCTTCTAGCTTTTAAAATTTGCTTGAATATAATTTTTCTTAGTATTTTTTTTTACTCTTTATCTCAATTGGGTCTGTTGTCCCACTCCTCCAATTTGGTAATTCCTTATTTTCCTCATATTACTATATGGTCCATCAACAAGCCCTAAAGCAATATCTTAAAATATAAGGCAAACCCAAACATTTTTTCATTTGTTATTTTTCATTTTATTATTTTGGCTGTTTGCTTCTTCTCCTTGTCAAATTGGCCTGTGGTTCGTCAATTTTATTGATCTTCTCAAATAACCAATTTCTGTTGTTGTTAGGTACTGTTAACTACAACCTATAGCAACCCTATGAAAAAGAAATCTGAATCCTGTGCTATCTGAACCAACATCTAATCTTGCTAATTCTTTTTATTGTTTTCTGTTTCATTTCTTTCGCCTCTGATCTTTATTATAATAGTTCCTTTATTCTGGTAACTAAAATTGTTTTCTATATATGTTGTTGTTAGGTGTCGTCTAGACAAATATGATTCATAGCGACCCTATGAACCACAGATCTGAACCCAGTTCTAACCTGGGCCAACCTCACAATCTCTGATACACTTGAGCCCATTCACTGTGTTAATCCACCTGACTGAGGATTTCCCTTTTCTTCTCCATCCCTTAAGCTTTCCAAACATGATGTCCTTCTCTAAGGAATAGCGTCTCCTAGCAGCATGCCCAAAGTTTGTGAGATGAAACCTTGTCATCCTTATCTCCAAGAAGTTCTCAGGCTTCACCTTCTTCAAGACATATCTGTTTGTTCTTTTGTCAGTCTATGGGATATTCAGTGATCTCCTTCAACACCACAGTTCAAAGGCATCAATTTTTCTTCCATTGTTCTTAGTCGTTGTCCAGCTCTCAGATGCATATCAAGTGATTGAAAAGTCAGTGGTCACAATTAGGAACACATTAGTCCTCAAACTGGCATCATTGCTCCTCAGTGATTTGGAGAGTTTCCTAACTGTAGATTTTCACAGTGCAATACATCTGTGTGTGTGTGTGTGTGTGTGTGTGTGTGTGTGTGTGTGTGTACCATCAAATCGGATCTGACTGGTACAGGAGGAGAGGACCCCTCCTTCTCCAGCAGAGAATCTGGTGGATAGTACAATACATCTTCTGATTTCCTGACTAATGGCACCAAATGTACTGATTGTGAATCCAAGTAAGATGAAGTTGACAGTTTCAGTCTTTTCTCCATCTACTATGGCCCTGTCAGTGGCAAGGATTTTTGTTTTCTTGAAGTTGATATGCAATCCACACTGAAGGCTGTAATGCTTTTATCTTCTGAAGTGAATATTTCGAGTCCTTCTTGCTTTCAGCATGCAAGGTTGTGTCATCTGCCTACATCAGTTATTGATGAGTCTTCCTCCTAAGCTGATGCCATGCTCTTCTTCATAGAGTTCAGCTTCTTGAATAATTTGCTCAGCATACGGATTGGACAGGTATGGAGAAAGGATACAACCCTGACGCATGCCTTTCTTCATTTTAAACCCTGTAGTGTTCCCATGATCTGTTGGCACAACAGCCTCTTGGTCTAAGTTCTGCATTAACAAAATTAATGAGTCTGAAATTCCCATTCTTCTCAAGACTACTTGTTCAAGTAGTCAGGTTATATTATTTATTTTGGAACTTTTTCTTTTTCTAGGTATATATTTTTTGCCATAAATTCTCCGTTGAATTCTGTTTTTTTATATATCTCAGAGATTTTCAAATACTGTATTTCTATTCTTATTTGAGTCTAATTAATTTTTAAAGTTTAGTTTTGATTTCTATGACTTGGATTTGTTTGGGGTTTCTTTTTCTTTGTTTGTTTTTTAGTTTTATGTCATTTACTTTCCAAGAATTTTTTTTTCCTTGTTCTTCCTGTTACTGATTTCTATGGGGAGAGAATGTGATGCTTCTTAATCTGCCATCATGATGTTACTGCATTGAATTTAATAGAGTAAGCATATTTATAACTTGCTCTGTGTATAAACCCTGGTGATGGTGGATTGACCTGGTGACTGGTGCAGTGGTCTCTAGTGTTATCAGGAAGTGTAAAGATGGTGCAGGATAGGATGGGGTTCAGATCCGCTGTTCATAGGGTACTTGACTTGATGGCACCTAACAACAACAACTATGCATAAATCCTGGTGGCATAGTTCATGCCATGTTAGATTCAAAAGGTCAGCAGTTTGAATCCACTAGTTGCTCCATGGGAGAAGGAAGGGTAGTCTCCTTTTCTAAAGATGTGCAGCTTTGGAAACTTGAGGGAGAGTTGCCATGAGTCAGTATTCTCTCCATGACAGTGAGCACAAGTAAGTAAGTGCTGTGTGTTGTTTAAAACAGAAAAACTAGTTCCCATTATGAGGAAGTCGTGCCTCAATTCTAGACCTTCTGTGTAGTAAATATACTCTCAAACATTGTAAATTTTTATTGCATTTAATCTTCAAAACAATCCCATGAAATACATAGATTACCCTTCTCCTGGTTTATAGTTAGGACTTTGGGAATTTAAATTATTAAAGCAAGATTATACAGCAGATGAATCAGGATTTAAACCCTGATCTAAGACATGCACTTAACTATAGAAGGCAGAGTGAGGCAGACAGTAAAGAGGCATAAAAATGAGTCCTGTGGCTTTAAATCCATTGGTGTGTTTTTATTTCAGTAAAATCTAAGTAAAACTTCATGAAGGAAGTTGCATTTCAACTGGGCTTTGTAGGTTGGAGGTAGGATTGTAATACGTGACTATAGCAAGGAATAGAAGTGAGTGATAGAGCAGAGGTTAAAACCAATTACATATGAAGCCAAAGCCTGTCCCCTTTCCATTACTCAAAACTAGACCAGTCAGAGCAAGTGTGAGAATCTAATAAAATTACAATTACTTCGAAATGTAGAAAAAGGGCTGAAGACGAAGGTTAGAACTAGAACATGAATGACCTTCAGTGCAAATGCAGCATGCCCTAAGATATGGAAAACATAAAAATCACCTATTATTAATAATAATATTAAATTAATAAATAATAATTAAATATAATTAAAATTAATAATATAAACTCTAATCTCAGAACCAGTATTTGGAGGGTTGAGTAAGTTGAATAGGGAACTCTGGTGACTTAGTTTTAAGAAGTTGTGCCACCAACCCAGCAGCACGTGGTTTTTGGGAGAAGACCCTCATAGCTGGAGGGTCAGCCTAAGAGTTGTTTCCGACTCAGTGACTCAGTGGTACGTAGCAACCACCACAAGTAGGTTGAATGGTAATGAGGCCAGATGGTGTGGAACTATAGCAGAAGAATCAGGAAATGTTTTTGATGGGAGTTAATATATTTTCTAATGCCTTTGTTTACTTTCAGGACAAACCATTTTTTGATATGAAACCCCTTTCAAAAGTGGATAGTGAAAGAGCAAGAAATCAGAAAATTCCAAAACTACGTAGTTTACTGGATCTTGCACAGAAAGAAAAAAAATTTGTGATGTTTGATCTTACACGCCCTCCACCAAAACATCCTTACAGAAACACATATGTTCGAGTGGTCGTAAAGGTGATTCTTGCCTCTAAAATTGAGCCACATCTGGTATGTCTACCACAGTGTTTATGACTGAGTCTGGGAGGTGGGTGGCGTGTTCCAAAACTTGAACAGGTGCACTTGATCAGCCCTATGGATCCTCTCTGGAATGCTTAAGCACTTCTGCTTCTTATGGAAATAAATCATTGCTTATGCAGTTATCTGTGGCACTCTAACAATAACCCAGAGTGATCCAAAGCCAGTGAAATATCACCACCCTGTCAAAAAGGAATGTGTGTAATGACCATTTGGTATGGACCTGCATCATCACTGCTATGTTGTTGTTGTTGTGTTCAGTAGAATTAGAACCAACCCATAGCTGACCCTCCAGCAGATTTTCAGAGGCAGTTAATTGCACAGGAGGAGACTGTCCATCCTTCTTATGTGGAGCAGGTGGTGGCCTGGAACCATGTACCTTCAGGATTGCAGCACAGATTCTTGCCACTGAGCCACCAAAGCTCCCTAATTACTAATATAGAGCTATTAAAAAGAGCCTGTGTAATATTAAGGCTTTTAGAAGTTAGCATTGATGAATAATGCAGAAGGGAGAAACTGGATTTGAGCAGAGATTTATTCATCATATTTTTCAGAAGAAATTTTAAGTTTGGAGAGCTGATTCACAAAATCATATGAAAGAATACTAAGAGGGAAACACATATAGGATTTTGTTTTGTTTTGCAAATAAAGCTATTTTAGCAGATGAATCATAATAGTGTTCCCTGTTGGCAGGAAATGACTTCTCAAAGATTACTGTCAGCATCATCAGCTAGAGATAGTTATGGCTCTTACCTTTTATCCACATTACCCAGTTTGCCTTATATGAAACTTTCTGCAGATAAGGGAACCCTTGGCCCAGGATATTAATTAACTACTAGAGGTAGAGGTCCTAAGAAAATTCAGCTCCAGAACAACTCCAGGAAAGACGATATTATGAGAATCCATTAGACAGCCTTTGACCAGGCTGGCTCTTTCAGTCAGGGCCAGAGCCATTGTGTCTTCCTGTAGCCCAGTGCTGAAAAGATACTCCAATCCATGAGGCTTTTGTACCTAGACAAGTTATTATTCACTGAAGGACTTGCTATTTGTCTTTACAGATTTTTTGGTTGCCAAGTTTTGATAGGGACTATGTCAGGCTGAAGGCTCCTGGTTTTCAGCAAGTGGGCCGGTTATACCCCCTTCAAAAACTTTCAGATGAAAAAATAAGAATAATAAATGTTGACTACAAAGAGTTGTTCTACAGTGGGTTGAGGTAAGTGATAGACTACGCTTCCCTTAGCACGCGCCACCTTCCTTGAACAAAATCTGAATCCTAAACTTTCCCCTCCCATTTCAGGATTGCAATGTGCAGCCATCATCTTAGAATCACCTTCCTCCCTCATACCTTTCTCTACCTTCCACTTTTTCACCCTACTCCCATCCCTTCTCTTTGTTACCTCCGTCAGCAAATATTTAATAAGTGTAGACTACGTCCTGGAACAGTCTTAAGCTTCTGTTTTACGTCCCAATCCCTCATCATTTGATGTGCTTTTGTACTTCTTTTTGCACTTCTCATTTTACTTAGGGTAAATAGGAGCCTTGAAAAGTCAGAACTTTGACATTTTTGTTTATTCTTGATACTTTCCGCTGGAACGCAATATCTACTATATAGCTTCATGAGTCAGATAATCAGATTTGTAGTGGGCACATTTAAGAATATAACTAAATCATTCTCTTCAAAATCTTAAAGGTTCAAACAGCTAAACGTGAGACAGAACTAAATTATTGACCACAACTTTTATCAATATACAATTGGAGAAAGATTTTCAGATGAACTACAGGCAGGATGCTCCTTAGAGAGGAGAAGGGCGAGACTTAGTCTCGTACTTCGGGCACGTCCTTAGGAGCAGCCAGTGCCTGGAAGGATGTCGTACTTTGTAAAGGATCAGAGAAGAAGTGCAATGTCCTTACTGAGAGGGATTTACAGTGACTACACCACTACGCTCAGGCTCAGGAGAGAGGATGGTGCTGAACTAGGCGGTGTACGATTCTCCTGTACATGGAGTTGCTGTGAGGTGGAATCAACCCCATGGCACCTAAAAACAACAGAAATAAAATTGTAACTTCTAATTTCATATCCCACTTCCTCTTAGTTTTAAGGGAGCTCTGGTGACCTGGTGTGTAAGGAGTTGCACTGCCAACCCAAAGGCAGGTGGTTCGAATCTGCCAATGCCTGGATAAACCTTAATCTTTATACTGACATTCTTGCTATATAGAACTTTGGAGAGTTCTCTGACAGCAGATTTTTTCCAGTGCTACATGCCTTTTGATTTATTGACTGCAACTACCATGGGTGTAAATTGTGGATCTATGTAAAAGGAAATTGTTGATAGCTTCAATCTTTTTTCCCTCCATCTGTCATGGTATTACCATTGGTCCAGTAATGAAGTTTTTGTTCTCTTGATAATAAAATGCAATCCGTATTGAAGGTTGTAGTCTTAGATTTTCTGCAGCATGTGTTCCAAGTCTACCTCATTTTCATCAAGCAAGATTGTGTCATCTTCATAATTTAGGTTGTTGATGAATCTTCCTCTACTCCTGATTGCCACCTCATTCTTTACAGAGTCTACCTTCATGAATGATTTACTCAGCATCCATATAAAATGTGGCTGTTTCTGGTAGGTGCTGTTGAGTAAAGTATGACTCATAGCAACCCTTTGAAGAATAGACATGAGCCCTGCCCTATCCTGTGCCATCCTTATAATTTCTGATATACTTGAGCTCATTTCAGCAGTGAGCATGTCAATCCATCTGACTGAGGGTCTTCCTCTCTTTTGATGACCCTCCAGCTTTCCAAGCATGATTTCCCTCTCTAGCAACATATCCAAAGTATGTGAGATGAAGCTTTGTCATCTTCCCTTCCAAGAAGCACTTTGGCTGTACTTTCTCCAAGACATGTCTGTTCTTTTGACAGTTCATGGGAATACCACAGCTCTAACATAGCCCTAACTCATACTCCCTCTCTCTTTCTCTCTCTCTCTCCCTTCTTCCCTCCCTCCCCCTTCCTCTTCTTCTTTCTCTTCCTCTTCCTAATATGTGTATATATAGCACATGGGAGAAGATTGTCCATCTTTGGCCAGAGAGGTATGGCCTTTGGCTTAACAGTGCAACTCTCTATGGATTGCACCACCTGAGCTCCCTCATTAGATATAGATAAGGCCATAGGAATTGATGGAATATCAGTTGAAACATTCAGGTAATAGATGCAACCCTGGACATGCTAACTGTTGTTGATTGCCTTTGAGTTGAGCACAACTCATAACAACCCTATGAACAACCGGCCTGAAGCTCCTCTAAAACTATTGACGTTTATAAAAGTTCATAGTTTCCAGAGGCATGTTGTTTAGGAAGTGGATGCCACTACTGCTTCCAAGGACATGCTAACTAGTCTCTGTCAATAAATATGGAAGACAGCTACCTGGACAACTGACTGGAAGAGAGCTATATTTGTTCCCATTCCCACAAAGGGTAGTCTAAAAGACTGGAAAGTATCAAACAATATCATTAATATCATATGTAAGTAAAATTTTGCTGACGTTTATTTAAAAAAATGGCTGGAACAATACAATAGCTGTTGTCTGCCAGAAATTCAGGCTGGATTCAGAAGAGGCTGTGGATCAAGGTATATCATTGTTAGTGTCAGATGAATCTTGGCTGAAAGCAGACAATACTCAAAAGGTGTTTACTTTTATTTTATTGATTATGCAAAGTTGTGTGGATAATAACAACTTATTAACATTGAGAATAATGAGAATCCCAGAACACTTGTTCATGTAAAACCTTTACATAACCAAGAATCTGTTGTCCAAACAGAACAAGGAAACACTACACGGTTTAAATCAGGAAGGGTATGGATCATATTGGTCCCTTCTCAATACCTGTTCAATCTGTTCGCTGAGCAAATCATTCCAGAAACTGGACTATATAAAGAAGAATATGGTATTAGGATCAGAGCAAGAATTATTAGTAACCTATATTATGCAGATGAAATAATCTTTTTTTTTTATGAGAGTGAAGAAGGCCTGAAACACTTACCAAGAAGATCAAAGACTATATCCTTCAATATGAATTACATCTCAATATTAAGGGGGGATTTTGCAACATCATGATTTTTGTTGTTGTTATGTGCCGTCGAGTCGCCTGCGACTCATAGCGACCCTATGTACAACAGCCCTAAACTCCGCTCTGTCCTGTGCCAATCGCACTGTCTCTGACACTCCCATCCCAATTATCCCAGTCACTGAATCAATCCACCTCATTGGAGTTGTCAACAATTTCAATTTCCTTTGGACATATTTTCAGGAAGAACCAGTCCTTAGGGAGAAACATCATGCTGGGATAGGTGGAACGCCAACAAAAGAGAGGAAGACCCTCAAGGAGATGAATTAACACGTGAAGACCACAGTGACCTTTACAGAGATGGTTAGGGTGGGGCAGGATAGGAGAGGTTCAGATGTTTTGTTGATACCCTCACTGTGAGTGTAATTGACTTGATAGCACTTGATAACATTAACAGTGTAATTCCAGAGAGACACTCACTCCTTAGAATAACCATGGCTTTGTGGAAAGGAGCTGCGCTACCAAGTCAAAGGCTCCTGGTTCAAATCTGTCAGCTGCTCCATGGGGAAAAAAATGGAGAGTGTTCTCCCATGCATTTAACTGCCTCTGAAAACCCAGTGGAGGGTCAGCTATGAGTCAGTTCTGACTTGATGGTACACAACAAAAACATAAAAGTAAAAAGAGCAGCACTCCCCCAAGGATAAAGTCAGGAGGCAGTAAAGAGTAGGGTAAAAAGATTAATAGAAGTGAGAATTATTGGTTGCAAGTGGAAAATGTGCAGTTGCATCATGGGTATTGTAATTAATATAAAAACAAAATGTATAAATGATTGAATGAAAACCTATATTAAAAAACCAATAAAGGAATATTATGCAGCATTCAGGAGCAATGATTTTGAAAAATATTACCTAACTTGGGAGAGACTGGAGAGCATTATGCTGAGTGAGCTAACTCAATGTTATAAAGACAAATACTGAATAAGACCATTATTGTAAAAATAAAAAGATAAATAGTAAAACATGTATAGAGACCCAAAAGAGGAAGGGATGGGAGCAGAAGGGTGAGGAAGGGTAGGAGCAAAACCATAGGGTTGCACAGTTTGGTGGGTGGCGGGAGAGAGTGAAGGAAATGGGAAGGATCAAACAGGAACTAGAAAAAAATTGGGTAATAATGGGCAAGGGGCAAGGCCCAATGGTGATTGATTTTATAAACCATAATGCATGAGAATGATTGTATAAAACATTACATGAATGAAGAGTAGTGTGAAACACAATGTATGCAAAATTCGTAACAAACAAATATAAAATTTTAAAAAACAAAAAATCTTGTAAAAAGCCCCCTTTTGTTGAAAAGATTGTCCTTTCCTCTTTCTGAAAATTTTCACTCAAATCACAATTTTTTTAAAAAAAAGTTATTCTGTGTGTGTGTGTGTGTGTGTGTTTAATAATAATAATTTAATTTTTTTATTCATTGTTGTATATTTTCTCCCTCAGCCCACCCCACAATGCACCCCTTGTTTCAGATTGTTCTCATACAAATAAAGCCTCATCATATATTCTTTTCGGACAATTCTTCCCCTCATCTGTTCTGAAAGAGTGTTCATTACCTATCCACTCTTTCCTATTCACTCCCCACCTCCCACACCATATCTGCCCTCTTTTATAACAGTGGTGTATTCTTTGTCCTTTTGTTACTATTTCACTTAGCATAATGTCCTCAAGGTTTCCCCATGTTGTGTAATGTTTTATTATTTCATTGTTTTTCAGTGCTGTGTAGTATTCAGTTGTATAGATGTACCCTAGTTTTTTAACCATTCACTTGTCCATGGTCGCTTGGGTTGTTTTCATCCCTATGCTATTGTGAATAACGCAGCAATAAACATGCATGTGCATATGTCTGTTTGAGTGGCAGCTCTGGTTTATTTAGGGTATACTCCCAGTAATGGAATTGCTGGGTCAAATGGTATTTCTATTTCTAAGTTTTTTAGAAAGTGACAGACCGTCTTCCATAGTGGTTGTACCATTTTACATTCCCCCCAGCAATCAATAGGAGTTCCAGTCTCTCCACAACCTCACCAGCATTGTTGTTTGCTGCCCTGTTGAACTTTGCTGTTGTTGCTGAGGTTAAATAATATCACATAGTTGCTTTGATTTG